CTGGTATTGAGTGGGATATGGAGTCACTGCTGAGGAAGAGATCCATTTCCAACAAAATCAAAATCTTAATAACGGGTGGAAATGGATTTCTGGGCCAACAGTTGGCGAAGGCTTTACTCGAACCGCGAATTGACCTCAGATTCGATGAACTCATTCTCGTGGACATCCAGAAGCCCGTAAGTCCTGTCAAAGACGATAGGGTCCGGTGTCTGGTGTTTGATTTGACCCGCGCTGACGCTATCAAAGAGCTGTTCCAAACCAATATCGATATTGTGTTTCATTTGGCAGCTGTGGTCAGCGGTCACGCGGAAAGGGATATGGATTTGGGATTCAAAGTGAATGTAGAGCTGACTCACAATCTTCTGGAAGTGATTCGACACCAGAATCGACCGCAAACTCGACTCGTGTTCGCCAGCAGTTGTGCCGTCTATGGATGGCCTCAACCCATGGATCAGGACATCGACGAGAAGACAGCCGTTTTGGCGCAATCCTCTTATGGCAACCAGAAAGCCATGTCTGAGCTCTTGATCGCCGACTACACCCGCAAAGGCTTTATCGACGGCCGAGTGCTGCGACTGCCGACAGTGTCGGTGCGCTCGGGTTCAGCCAATCAGGCCGTCACCTCTTTCGCGAGTGGCATCATTAGGGAACCGCTCAGCGGTCGGGTAGCCATCTGTCCAGTGGCCAGAGATCTCAAGATATGGATCACGAGTCCGGAAACTGTGGTCAAAAACTTCATCCACGCGGCGATACTACCGGCCAATGCGTTGGGTGCGCACCGGAACGTCAATCTCCCGGGCATTACAGTGACTGTCGACCAAATGGTGAAGAGTTTGGCGCAAATCGCTGGACAGGAAACGGCAGAACTCATCCGATTTGAATACGACAAACACATCGACACAATCGTCTCATCCCTTCCCGTCTCCTTCGACGTGAACAGAGCTCTGGGTTTGGGGTTTAGTATGGATTCAGACGTCAATCATATCATTCAGAGTTACATCGACTCCGAAGTGAGTCCA